AATTGTCAGTTGCTCCACTTAGGGTATTCAATGCTGCAGGCAGTGTTAAAAATCTTGCAGGGGCTACATCCCTTGGCCACAGAAATGCACCTCGGTGTGGGAACTGCCCTGGATTGGATGCCCTTTACCCATAGACCCAGTATTTCTCATGAATAACTCCCTTTGTGTGTCGTTTAGGGCTCTACAAGGGGCACACTTGTAGTTAAAAGAGTCATGTCGCTTAGTGAAGCCCAAAGTCACAGCTTTCCACAAGATGTTTAAAGATTATTTGATCCTTTCAAGCCAAAAGCAGTGTAAAAATCAAAGGTCATTTTTTTTTAACCACAGCAATGTTGGTTTGTAACACAATATTGATTTCTCCCTTCATCATATTTCTAGGAAAACAAAGTTATTCTAAGGTGAATTAAATTAGTCTGTGGAGCAGCAAAAGAGGCTTGTTAGTCCTTTACCCATAGTCATTTATTAGAATACCAAGTATTGGGTGCATAAACCTATTATGAAAAAAAAAGCACCCATTTCATTTTTTTTACACCAAAATGAACTCCTACTACGTGTTATAACTAAGAACGATAAGGCATACACTTGAAGGAGCTTCTACAGCCTGCTGTTTTGTTAAATACCATTGTTGGCTCCAAACCATAGCTCCCTATGCACAACCCAATGAAATCCTGTCTGGTCCTGCACGACCCTCACAATTGTTCTCATGCTTGAGCCTATTGTTGCAGCTGCTGCGTCGGTTCCTCTCACGGTGGGCTTTCCTCGTTTTCACTGCCCTTTTACGTGACCAAGCATGATGTCCTTTTCCAGGTATTGGTCGCTTCTGACAACATGTCCAAAGCATATAAGACGAAGTCTCATCATTTTTGCCTCTAAGGAGTAAGCCTCTACGCCTCAAAGGCTGTGCTTTTTCCTGGGCAGATGTTTGCTCTTTTGGCAGTCCATGTCACTTTCAAGATTCTTTGCCAGCACAATGGTTCAAATGCATAGCTTCTTCTTTGATCTTCCTTATTCAATAGCTAACTTGAAAACCCACAGCACTGACTCAAAGGCAGTGAGAAGTTGTGTAGTGGTTACGTTACGTTAGGCGGCTAACTGCAAGGTCAGCTGTTCCAAACCAACAGTCTCTCTGAGGGAGAAAGATGAGGCTTTCTACTCCCATAGTTAGTCTCAGAGACCCAGGGGCCAGTTCTGCACTGTCCTATAGGGTCACTATAAGTCTTCATCAACTTGATGGCAGGGGGGGCTTTGTTGTTGTTGTTTTTAATTTTAATCATTTTATTGGAGCTCTTACAGATATAACATTCCATAGTTCAATCACATCAAGCAGTATTGTGCAATTGGTAACACAGTTTCAAAACATTTTCTTTCTTCTTGAACTTCTTCATATCAGCTCCCCTTTATCCCATCTCTCCCCCACCCTATCCCCCAGAAACTCTTATTATTATTTTCCATATGTAAATACATATATTTTCCATCTCTTACACAATCCAATATATCCATTCACATGCAATTCTGTTGTTTGTTCCTCTTGAATGGGGTTATACAGTCGTCAATGCTATCAGTTCCCTATTTTCCCCTTTCCCCACTCACTCTCTTCCCATACCCTCAGGGAACCATTACTCCTGTTACTGTTTCTGAAGAGTTATCTATCTTGGCTTTCATGTACTGAATGATCTTAAATATACAAATGAACATATGCAAATCTAACATGACTAAAGAGGTAAAACAAATAAAAACTATAATAGAAAGGGGAAGGAAACATTAAAGAATTAGAGGATAGTTATATGGTTCATCAGTGTTATATTGCACCTTGGATTTATCATCTCTTCCATGTGGCTCTTCTGAGAGGGACTGTCCAAGTATCTTACAGGTGGGCTTGGGGTTGAGGTTTCATTTTTTTTTAATGCAATTTGCTTGTTGACTTTCTGGAGGGCCCAAGAAAGATAACATCTACTATTTTTTAAAACAGTGTTATTGGCACTTCATCCACTTATCATACAATTCAATAGTTCAATCGGACCAAGAAGAGTTGTACAATCATTACTACAGTCAATTTTAAAACAGTTGCTTCTCCCTTGTACTCATTGCTATTTGTGTAATTATCTTTCAGTGTGGCAAAAAATATACAAAACAAAACATTCTCCAATTCCACAACTTCTACATGTATAATTCAATGCCATTGATTATACCCTCTGTGTCATACAACCAGTATTGATATCCTGTTCCAAATTAGTCTACCACTCAATGCCCCCAAAGCAAAAGCTCTTCCTCCTGCACCCATGGTAACCACTGGTCAAGTTTGGTTGCCAAAGATGTCATCTTTACTGGCACAGAAGGACATCTTTCTCTCAAGGAGTAATTGGGGAGTTTGAGCCACACATGGAGTCATTCATCAAAGTTGTCATCAGCTGGGGGGCCAACTCCAGAGCTGCAACAACATCTATCTCCCAATCCAACTCCTGCAGGGGTGTTGCTACTCCATCCAGTTTCATTCCTCTCCATGCTGCCCATCCACTCTACATTGTCAATCGTCTTCCTAAAACACAAATCTGATCATGAAACTTCCTCTTTAAGAATCTTCCCTATTGGATGAATAAAAAAAAAAAAAGAATCTTCCCAAGTTCCTTCAACCATGACTGTTGTTCGTCTAACACAGGGGTGTCAGACTGGCGGATGCAGCCCCCGAGATAATTTTTTGTGGCCTGAGATGCTCTGAAATAAAATGAAAGTAGAAAAAATGAAGAAAATAGCGCTTAGGGGATATCGAGGCAATACCATACACACAATTCCCTCGTTGACCCTTTAACTACTGAAGACAAGTATACATTGTGGCCTGTCTCGGGGGCCTGTGGACATGTATGAACGCACTGACTCAGTGGCAGCGACATTTGGAAGCGATATGTCTGCCACTCTCAGTGTCACGTAATGTAAACAGATCCCAATAGCAAAAAGGTTAAAAAGGGTACTCTGGGTTATGCTATTATGAATCACACCTAGCGGCAGCACTACTTAACTTTTTTAAAGGGAAGCCATTATGATTGTGCATCATGTTTGTCAGCTGTCCAACATTTTGTGTTTTTTATTAGTTACTTTGTTATATTTTCCGGCCACAGCATAAGAGGTAAGTGAAAACTAGTAGAAGGAAAACACTGGCAAATTTCGGGTCCAAAAGAATAATTTTAGTTTTACAACTCACTAAATAAAATAACTGTTTAAATAAAAGCAATTATAGTGTTTTAATTATCCTGTCCATATTCCTGAATCCTAACTTCAAAATAAAAATTTAACAAAATTTGTAAATGTGATGTGGCCCATGTGAATCATGCCTGTTGCACCAATAGTCTGCGTTTTAATTGAGTTTGATACCCCTGGTCTAACTCTTGACATGTTGGCCTTATTCCTCACTCTAGTCTCTGTGGAATTTGTACATCTTTCTGTACTGCTCCCGGACAGACATATCCTGGCTGTCTGGACACATCAAAACTGTCTGGACACATCCGATAAAAAATGTTTTATCTGTTATGGTCTATATTTACATCTTATGACAAGTAATGTAAAGCACTTGGCAAACAAAGTGTGATTTCTCTGGTGTGTGTATTCCAGTGTAAAGGGATATAAACTTTATATATGCTAATCTCTAGTGGAACTCCATTACAACAGCCTCCACTGTTGTTGAAATCCTCAGCCACCTTCTCTCTCCCCAACGTGGGAGTTGTGAACTTGGCTCTGCTTCTGCAGGACGTGAACCCTTATTAGGAGGAACATTCCCTAGAGCTTCAGAAAAATGTCCACGTCCTTATCTTTTTGTTCCTGCATATCTTTCCAGACACACTGCGTACAGAGCACCTCTCTTGTAAAAGCCATACCCTCTGTCTGCGGTTTTCTAACCGTATCAAGCAAATTGACAACTGCAGTCGCTGCTCAGTCTTCTCTTCCTTTGCAGAAATAAACTTTTCTTTTGCCTATCCTCTTGTCGCTGCTATTCAATCAGTATTTGCAGCTTGCGTGTATTTTAAAGACCACATCGATTTCCCCCCACACAGATCAATTGCCAACAACCCAGAGAGATTTTCTTTGGATACCGTACACAAAGTACCCTTCCCCCCATCATCTGTCTTAATAATACTTCATTTTAAAGCCTTCGCTCTTCAGAAGTATAAGCACAAAAAATGAAGGTCGGTACGTTGTCCCTGTTGCTTAAAAAAGGAAGTTACAGCGAGTGTTCAAGAAGTGTACTGAAGAACCAACAAAGTTTAGTATGCAGATTTCTTGTCCAAATGCACCCAATCTCCAGGGTCAGGGATTTTGCAATATTAATATGGATACTCAATCCAGGGCAGATGACCCACAGAACCTAGTTTTAGGAAATATGTGTTCTGGCACTATTTATCCCCTTCAATACACGTATTCGATTTCCATGACTGTCATTTCCATTCCAATTTTCCAACTTACTATCGAAAGACAGGTCCTGGATTTAATTTACTTGTTCCATTTCCATACCCAGGGCCTCTATTCAACCGCTCGCAGCCGCAGCGCGAGACGGAAAAGCCCAGCATCCACTGTGCTGCGAAACGGATTACGGCCGAGCCGCGGGGCCCAAGCGCGGCTGGCGCCCTCCTTTAAACATTTGAATTTTGTGGGGGGAACGAAGCGGAGGGAGTCCGGTAGCTGAGGACGTTTGCAGACTGTTTGCTTTCCTTCCCCACTCGCCCTCCCTCGCTAGGACGCAGGCTTCGAACCCCAGCGGCGCCGAGCGGACAC